CACGCCAGGCCCCCTGAGCAACTGCCCGAGCCAACACACCAGGTGCTTCCTCCGCAATGTGCATTTCGTGACGCTGGAAAAAATCCCCAAGCGTGCCACCAGCACCCAAGTCCATCAGCATGTAAGCGCCAACGGCGGCTTGTGGTGACGCGCACTGCAGTGGAAATGGAGCCACTTCTTCCGCCCGCCTGCTGACGCACGGTGACAGGACTACACCGTGGGACCGTGCAATGTGAGGATGGGGGGGAAGAGCGGCGGCCACCTGTGCCTCACGGAGAAAATCGCCCAGCGCAGGAAAGTGCGACACAGGTTCACTCATCTTGCCAGAGAAGACCTGGCGCAACGCCTCCAACGCGGCCTCGTCTCCATCCTGCTGCTCCGTCGCGGCAAACGGGGAAGACTCGAGGAGACGCGTCACACCCTTCGCTGCAAAAAAACGCGTTGGGTGCACCCGGCTCTGTACAAGTAGCACCGTACCAAAGTTGCCCCGGCCAATGGGACAAAGAAAATCAAAGGGGTGGGTTTGGGCATCGTCACACGGAGAGCAATTCTGTCTGGCAAGGATCCCGTGACAGACGCTGGAGGGCCTCCTGCCGTCACCAGCAGCAGCGCACATCGCTCGCGCCGCATCACGCGTAATGCGCAGAAGCGGGCAATCCACCGCAGCACCAGCCGGCCGGCGCGCCACGCCGGGCTCCACAAGCACAGCCGCAGAGCCCCATCTGCGTGCCGCAACGCGACCCAGCAGTTCGTCGCACCACGGCAGCGTCGCACCGCGGGAATGATCCGAGACATTAAAAAGCATCCGAGCGCACTGCACGCTCCCTTTCCTCGCCTTTCTTCGCTATACACCCCACCCACGAAAAAAGAAGGAGAGACGCACAGCATGAATTCAAAAAACACAAAACAAAGCAACATAAACTATATATATATATATATATACGCTTTCCAGCTTTCCTGTCTGTATCCTCCTTCTCCCAGTCATACAGATGCATTCAGTGAGGTAATGCAAAAAATAAAGAATGATTTTTTTTCCTTCTTCTTCTTCGTTTTGAATGCCGTTGTCGTTATCTTGGGATTAAACACGACCGACAAAATAAAAGCAGTGCGACATACACATATAAAAATAAGAGATAACGACAGACTTGTGTGGGTTTTTCATTCAGGGAACACAGGGGGGGGGGGGGGTGTCAAATCCTTGCAGTTGAGTAAATTTATTCGAGCAGGTGCTTAATACTCGTATCCCACATGCACCTCAACTTTGTTTTTTCTTTTGTTTTTTGTTGTTGTTTCTTCACGCCTTTTCTTTTTTAAATTTCCGTACATCCATCATCTCAAAACATAATTCTGGTTCAGCACGCATGCATTTATTTTCTATCAGATATCGATCGCGTCACGTTCCAAACTTTTTTCTCCTTCCTTCAAACCAGTAATAAGTTGTCACTGCCCGCGTAAAAAAAAAAAAAAAAAAAAAAAAAAAAAAGAATGATACAATCGAACTATTTTTTGAAGCCAAAAAAGGAAAAAACTTGTTTTTGTTTTTTTTTCCTTGTCACGATGGGGGAGTAAAGAGGGGTAGGAAGAGAAAGACGGTGTTACTGCATTCTTTCCCCATCCGCCCATCAACGCATGAAAGGAGCATAAAAATAAATAAATAAACTTTTTTCTGGAGTCTTGTATAAATTCGGGAGCAGTGTGTGTGTGTGTGTGTGGGAAGGCTGGGCGTGGGTGCCCGTGCTTGACTGCTGCCCCTGAGGCGTATCAGGGTAAAAAAGTGTGGGGCAGAAAGGCACACACTTACACACTTACACAAATGCACACGCCTGAGAGTGAAATATGCACATGAATTAGGCGATGATGGTTGTTATTGGGGGTTCAGCTATCTTTTCTGGAGGAATCGGCAGCATTTCTTCAATCTCCTTCTTATCGCGAAACTCCAGTCCGTTGGGGCCAACATCTGCCGCTGCGTGTCCATAGCAGCTGACTGATGGTTGTGGCCGCCGTTGTCGAGCAAACGAGCCTGTAAATGAGGAAGACCAACGGCTGGTACACTTTCTTGGTTTCTTCACACGGGGTTTGTACAAGGCCATCACTGCCTTGTACGGGTATGTTGCAAGACGATCTTGCACGGCGGAGCCCGATGTTTGTGCCTTGTGACGCACGCTGAACTTCACGATAAGTCGACCAGACTCATCCACAAAAAAGCGGATGTTTACAATATTGCTTTCCGGCTCCGCTGTAGCCTCTGCCGCCTCTGTCGTAAATGCAATTCTAAGTTCGTCACGCTTGGAGTTGAGTACAATGTCCCAGTCTTCTCCTCGAAACCGTAATGCGTGTTTTGTGAATTCATATCCCTGATCATCAATGGCGCGTACTCGCACCGGGACCGGAAGGCCGTTCACAGTCCGTGGTTGCGCATTGTTTTCTTGCACGGGCTCTCTTGCATGACCCCCCATGGGTGAGTTTTGCGCATTTTCCGGATGTGTGGCCATGGCTCGGTGTGTATAAAAGTCCCTTTTTTTTTGTGTGTGTGTGTGTGTGTTCTTTCTTCTTGTGGCAATACACGCAATTCCTATCCTTTTCCCTTCCCCCACCCTCCCTGCTTTGTGTGTCCTTTGTGTGTAGATATGTAGATATAAATATAAATATATATATATATGTGTGTGTATTATTATTGTTATTATTATTATGTATTTTTTTCCTTTCTTGTCTCTCTTCTCGGTTTGGTTGGGGAAGGGGCTTCAAGTGAAGACGCCATGCCGGTCACATCAATAAAATTACAAAAATGAAAAAGAAAGAAAGAGGAAGAGAGAGTCAGTGTGATTGGGTATAAATGTGAACGAATACCTCCCATCGGTCTTATTTGTTTTATATTGCGATGTGGTGGCAGCCATTCATTCATCACGCCCCATCTCTCATTCCCAAACGCACCGTATGTGGGATGCATGTATTTTCATGTCCCCTTTGTATGCAAAAAAAAAAAAAAATCATGATAATAATAATAATAATGAAAAAACGAAAATAAAAAAACAAATAAAAATAAAAATGAAATAACGATATATAGATATATTTATATATAAATACAAAATGTGTTGTTGTTGTTGTTTTTGTGTTTTTTTTATTTTATTTTTTTTTTTTTTTTTTTTTTGGATTCCTTGTCCCGTGCCACGCACTGGCACGGCTTTCTCTCCTGCCTCGCATCCATCCTATTTGGACTGCACCGCCTCCTCTTTTATTTATGGCTGGTGGTGTTTTTTTTGTTTTTTTTTTCCCTTTTTTTTGTGTGTGTTTTTTTTGTTTCGTTTTGATTTTTAAATTCCGCCCATGTGATATTTTCTCTCATCTCCCCCATATAAATACATTGCAGGCATGCATGCTCTCACGGGTGGGAGGCAAGCGGAATTTATTTATTTATTTATTTGTTTGTTTGTTTTTGTTTTTTTTTTTTTTTGGATGGACCACAAAAACAAAAATAAAAATAAAAAATGGAGACAAAAAAAAAAAAAAAAGAAAAGAAAAGAAAAGGTGGGGGTTTCGTCGTGGAGAAAAATAAAAATAAAAATAAAAATATTTTTTTTTTTTTTCCCCCGCCCTCCCCTTTTGTTTTGTGTGTGTTTTTGTGTCCGCCTCGCATTTTGCCCGTCGCTCGGCACGAAAAAGTCGTTTTTTTTTTTGTTTTTTGTTTTGTTTTTTTGTTTTTTTTTCAGGCAAAAATAACAGAAGGCCACACGACAACCCACCAAACATCCCTCCGCCTGCCCGCACACGCACCCGCCAGAAGAAACACAACAAACAAAAAATAATAATAATTTATTTATTTATTTTTTTTTTTTTTTTTAAATCCCGCCGCCATCACCTCAGAAATTACACTTCCCTTTTTTTTCCCCCTCCTCCCTTCACTCGTGTGAACAACAACGGAAGCGCCAGGGAATAAAATGGCAGGGAAAAATGGACGGACAGGCAGGCAGGCAGGCAGGCAGGCAGAAAGAAACGGGTGAAACAAAAAAAGAGAGAAAAAAGAACGGGCACGCGTGGGTAAAAAAAGAAAAACAGAAAAGGGAACAGAAAGAAAATGGAAAAACAAACAAAATAAATAAAAAATTATCCGCTTTTGAAAAAAGAAGAAAAGGGAGGAGGAAAAAAAAAAAAAAAAAAAAAGACAGGTCTAAAGATATATATATATATATGTAAATATATATATGGGTCAGTGGATATCTAGTACGACAGAGAGAGAGAGAGAAAGAAGAAAGAAGAAAAAAAAAACAAAAAAAGGGTGGTTATCCCTCTTGTATTTTATTTGTCCTTACATGAATATATAGAAGTAGTCATCCGTTCATGTTCTGGTTTTCTTTTATTGGTGTCATTCACTTCTCCTGCCGTTTCCTTTTTCTATTTCCCTCTCTCTCTCTCTCTCTCTCTCTCTCTGTGTGTTTGTCTGTGTGCCTCCCTTGCCCTATATATATATATGGATATATATATCAATTTTCCGGGAATACTGGCTGGGACAACCAGTATAAACCTTTATTTATGTTCCTATTGCCAGTGCTACGTGCGCGCATAATAATAAATAAATAAATAAATAAATAAATAAAATTGACTAATTCCTATATAATAAAACGGTACGTGGAAATGCGCATGCCTGTAGATCACTGTGTAGCTTACTCGTTCCCTCATTGTCGTTCTCGCGACGCACCACAAACGTTACAATAAGCATGCTTGCAAACTCAAATTTTAGTTCTTCAATACGTCTTGCCTCCAGACCAGTTGCTTCAAAAACGTCCTTCTTAAAGGCACGTTCGAGCCCCTTTTTGTTTTTCCTCAAAATTTTCTCCCACCCGGGACCGCGGAAGTGGAGAACGTGCCTCGTCTTTAAAGTCCGTGAAGACGACAATGACTGGGTCCCATGCGCCACCCCAACACATTCCGATTCTTGCGAAACAACCACGTCGCCCGAGTTCGTCGTCTCCTCCGGCATGGGCGTTGGCTGCTTTTCATTCGGCGTGGATACATGAAGCGCCATTCCGCGCGGTGGTGATTCCTCCTTCCGCTGCGTTTCATCCGGCGGCACCTCCATGTAGATTGGCTCGGAAGGCGTGGCGTGGGTGCCCTTTTTGCCCATTTTGCCCATTTTTGTTCCATTTGTCTCGTCCACAGAGTCCCTTTTTAGGCCCTTACGCACCTCCTCAGGCATCGCGTGCCACACGTATTTGCCACCTTTTGCCGCATTCTTCACTGTCATTGTTGGGCGTACTTATTTTTCCTCGTTTTTAAAATAATAAATAATAAAAAATAAAATAAAATAAAACAAAGATGCTTATTTGCGTATGTGTGGGTGTGTCTTTGTTTTCTTCACTTGACTCTTCGCCCAGGCAGTTGGCTCTCACTGTGCAGGGACTGCATGCCCAAAAGAAAAACAGCAAAGGAGGAGAAGTGAGGGAGGGGGAAGAGGGGGGATAAGACATCATGTAAACACGCACAGATGCATCGACATGATTTTTTTAAAAAATTCCTCCAAAAAGTATCGCCTCACGGTTCCATTTCCACTTCTCACTGTGTTCCTTCTGTATCCCAATCAATGCCCACTGCAGATAACGAGTAGGTCCCACAGGGGGCATGTCACACACACACACAGCCCGCTGTCCCCACCCCCCACCACCACCGGCTGACGTCACGGCGGGTTTGTTCATTCCCACGCATCAATGAATTGTTGGCATGACAATGTTTTGGAGATCAATGGCGCCGTGAAAGGAGCGGGTTCATCGTGTTGCTGCGGCCCAGTGAATGCGCTGGGTGCACAACGAGTCCCCAGCCCTCAGCCGCTGCAGAGATGCTAACATTGACGTTTTCCCAGCACCTCTCCAGACGCAACAACAAAACCCAAAGGGTAAAAAAAAAAAAATATTTCTTTCACTTTCCCTTTTTCTCCCTTCGTGTATTTACACCTTTGCCTCCATGAATGCAATGACACTATACATCTATATATATATATATATATACATACATGCGTGCGTGCGTGCGTGTATGCAGACAGAAAGAGAGAGAGAGGAATGAAGGGAAAAGGAGTAAAAAAAAAAAAAAAGGATACAAAAGCACACAGGCAAAATACACGCAACATCCCCCTTTTTTTTTTCCTTTCATGAAGCAGCCGAGGCTCAAGGAGGAAAAAAAAAAAAAAAAAAAAAACCGGGGGACCCCAATGCGTAGAGCCCCAAGCAGCGGCGGCAACAAATTCATAAATCGAGCCGCCCAAAAGTTGCACAAGCAAAAAAAAGAAAAAAAGGAGAATAAAACCACATTTCGGAAAGCAATAAGACAGAAGGCAAAGGAAAAAAAAAAAAAAAAAAACATAACAACAGATGCGTCCCAGCCAATGAAAAACCAGAAGAAGAAAGAAGAAAAAAAAAGGCATAAAAGTACATTCAGATCGCAATTCAAAGAAGCCCTTTTCCCTCCTCCTTCTCGCAGCATCACCACACATGACGTATTTAAAATGCACAGCTCACTCAGCAGAAGCAAAGAGCAACTTCACAGGGTTCTTCAAACAAGATACACACACGCACACGCACACACACAAAAAAAGAAGGGAACATTGGCAAAGTAAACACCCGTCATACAGCAGTGGTAGCACATATGTATATATATATATGGATATATATTCATATTTAATATAAATATGTAACTCCCTCTCTCTCTCTCTCTCTTTCTCCCTGTGTGTGTGTAGAGTCTGTAACAGCTGTGGGAGATGTATACCCCCCGCCCCTTTTTTTCCTTCTTTTTTTTTTTCTGTGTGTGTGTTTTATTTTCCCTCTTTTTTATTTGATACACGCAGAGACACACACACACACACACACAAATAGACGCCCTCCTTTCTTCTCACTCGGTCGCTCATACAGATATGTATA